ACTTTTTCAGTTGATCGGCGCTCGATCGATCAACGACCGCAAGGAAGGTTTGCCTGGAAATGATGGTCTGACCTCAAAAATGACTTGTAGACCGCAGAGCGCACGAGCCTATGCATGGTGGCTGGGGTAGACTGAGACCAAAGAAAAACGGGATCAAGGCGCCACATCATCGATAATCTCTGACTGAAACCTTGAGCATTTCTAGCCCATCTCGCGCCGGTGTACAGAAGTGCTGGCGCCTCCGCCAAAGCTGAAGTAGACGCGCACATACGTGGTCAACTGCGCGTTTAAATTTAGAGAGAGCGGCTTCAAGATTTCAACTTGAATTCGCTAATCATGAGGAATTGAAGTCTTGTAGCGGAAAGAAATGACTCACCATCTTCCATGTCAGCGTGAAAGGAACTCCCGGAAGAATATCGAACCCCAGTTCCGCAGAGCATATCCATATCCGCTGCCCTCAACAAGGCATGATGAGCTCAGTTTTCAATGCTCCCCTCGAAAATTAGTAAAAAAAAACTTTTTTTTAAAAAAAAAGAATGAATTGATTACCTCGGCTTGATCATTTTCCATTTTGGTGATTAGCCAAGGATAGTTATCCCGGATACTAGTCGACGAACAGCATCACGACCACAGCTGGCAGGGACATGATCACGAAAGCGCACTACAACTCCTAAATCCGAGATCTTATTCATTCCCGCATTTCTTGTTACTCAGTAAGATCCCCCAGCTTACGTACCATTTGACGCCACAGCACCCACGACAATTACATGCATGTTCTTTCCCTTACCTGTATTTCTGTGAAAGCAAACGTTATCACACGTACTTCTCACAATGCATAATATAGCATGAAAGAGTCAATATATCTCCTATGCCTCAGAAACGCCCTTGATACCCAAGTCCTGGGCAATAATAACAGCCACCTTCTCTCATATAGCCAATGCAGTATTGTATGTATTTGCACTGACGTTAAATGTACTACAATCTGCAACCCGCCTCATTCCTGATGTAGACATTGGAGGGAGAGGGCTGACGTACCTGCAACTCTCAGATTCCGAATGACATCGCCCTTTTCTCGTGGTTTCATAGCGCATCTACCCAGGTGTGAGATCGTGAGGCAGACTAACGACTAAAGACAGGAAGTAGTGCCATCCAGTCGTTACTATCAGCAAGGACAACGATAATCAACACGCGCTCAAATCCACATGATGGAAGATAACAACAAACCTGACTTGCGATGATACACATCAATCGCCGTCAGACAAAAATATCTCCGCATGCTGTGCGGAGGCACGTGTATTAATTAGACTAACCGGTCTCATGAGATCCTGAATGTCTACGCTACGTCCGGATTCAGCACGCTGAATCTCCATCCACCGCGTGGATTCCCTGCTTTTCTTGTATCATCATATCAAGACCTGGAGATCCGTCGGAATATCGAGAATTCGAAACTATTAGTTAATCAAGGTCAGCGCTGTGCTACCCACTCGTCAAGATCCAAACCAGTCGATATATGCACGCGACCTGTGAGGATGGGATATGTTCTGTCAGGAGCCTCGGTACGATTGATGAGTACGCCGTTTAGACGCCAGAGGACGCACAACAAAGAAGGTCATTGAGAAGCATTTACGATGCGCAGGGAAAGATCGAGTGTTCACGTAGCTAGCTGTAAGGAGGGTCGAATCGGTACCAAATTAGTTCAATGGATGAGCAGCACGGTCGCACGAGGATCAACACAGGCTTGTCTGGAGTAGTTCTTCCAATCTTGTCTCGAATTGTGATCCTATGTCTTTGAAGATCGTCCACGTTGGGTCTCAGCTTGATACCCACGTCAAGTCCATTTGAAGGGTCCATCAGGCCACGATGGCCGGAATCGCAACTCACTCCTGTGCTCAGAAGCACATTTCAGAAACTGCGACGTCACATTGAGTGTCTCTGTTGCATGAGTGCCCCTTGATAGGTGCCCTCGTCCTACGACACTCCCGTCACTCAACAGACACAGACAGTACACCAACGAGAAATGTACCACATGATACCTAATGTGGGACCGTCGATTGAAGACATAACATACGGTCCCGAGGTAATAGTAAGAGTGAACAAGAACGCAGTAATGTGCCGGTAAACGTGTGAAATAAAAACCGTAAGGGCGCTGATAGATTCAGAGTGTCACAATAGCATCGGACTGCTGACATTAGGCCAGAAAGAGCGTGTATCCTTGCTATGAGTCACTTGCAAGGACGCGTCGTCGTCGTCGTCGTCGTCAACCAAACCCTAACCCACCGACACTCGTAAAAACCCGGGCAAGGCGCAGTTCCCACGGTCTCTCTGACATTTGTGCTCGTCGTCCGCTCTCCGAAAGACCAAAAAAACACTCCTCGCAATGGCGGCCAGAATCGCTCTCAGCTCTCTCCGGGCAGCCAGTGCGTTCTTCGTCGTCGTCGTCGTTCAAAACAGCTAACTAATACTCTAAAAAGCCCGTCCCGGACGCGCACTGCCCTCTCTCGCCATGTACGTCTTCCCTCTCTTTCTAATACCAAAGAACATATCATAATACACACATAATATTTCAGGCGCGCAATGTCCACCTCATCGACGCCACAGCCCCCCTCCGAGCGCGCCTCAGAGCTCATCGACAAGCTCCCGTCGTCACCCGGGCTCCTCACCAAGACCGGCTCTGCGATCCTCGGCACAGGTCTCGCGGCCGCTGCCATCTCCCAGGAGCTATACGTCGTCAACGAGGAGAGTATCATCCTCATCGCGTCGATTATGTTCTTCACGTATCTTGGCAAGGTGCGTTGCTGCGTTGCGGCTTTGCTTCCGGTACAGTGCTTGAACGCGCACACACCCCGTGTAGATCATCCAAGAACCATACAAGAACTGGGCAGAAGGCCATATTTCGCGCATCAAGAAGATTCTGGACGGCGCGCGCGCAGAACACACACAGGCTGTTCAAGAGCGCATCGACTCCGTCGCGCAGATGAAAGACGTCGTCTCCCTCACCCAGGGTCTTTTCGCCCTTTCCAAGGTTCGTTCATTCATTCGTTGCGTCCCGTCTTCAATTCAATGAATATAAACACGATACTGATACTTCCGGTGTGCGAATAACAGGAAACCGCCAAACTTGAATCCTCGACCTTTGTCCAACAACAAAAAGTCGCCGTCGCGGCCGAGGTTAAGAGCGTCCTCGACAGCTGGGTGCGCTACGAGCAGCAGCAGAAGGAGAGCGAGCAGGCTGATTTGACCAAGGCGGTCGTGGCCAAGGTCCTTGCGAGCCTGAAGGACGAGAAGACTCAGAAGGATATCATCGTCGCGGCTGTTGCTGAGATTGAGCGTGAGTCGTTTAGTTTCTTTTGAAATTTTGTGTGATTGACGTAATTTGTGTGGGCAGAGCTCGTCAAGGCCAAGGCCATCTAGATGCTCTATGAACCTTCTTTTCTAATGTCCCGCGAACGATGAATAGAATTTTTTGGAGTAGTTACGTGGAAGCAAGAACATGCAATTATCAATGTTTCTGGGAACCAAGAAAGTACAGAACAACATTATAGTATACATCACAATCAAGAAAAATAGCAGTCTGGGTACTCATACATAGAACAAACGAAAGCGGAATGTCCTAATCATCGTGTCTCGTCTTCAGGTGCATGCACAGACTACTTATACAATTCAATCAACCGCACCAAAACTGGGAAATAAACTACACACCTCAACACCCTGGATCTGCATCGGGGATGGGCCTACCCCATTCTCATTGCCTGTCCCGTTCCCATTCACGCTGACGCCGACACCCGAATCAGCGGTATTCACATGTCCATTAACACCACCTCCAAGATCCTGCTGGAAAGACGTCCTCGCGTGTCCATGTCCATGTCCATGTGCGCTCAACACACGATCCTGCGGACTCCCGTGCATCTCGTAGTCATAGTCGTAGTCATGCTCGTATCCGCGCTCGATAGCAGTATTTGGTAGGATAGAAGGCGATGGGGCGGGTGAGAACCGGGGCGGGTCGTATAGATGTCCTGGTGGATGGGAGTGGGGGTGCATGGGAGAGTTGGCGGTGGGTGTACGGGTGGGATAGGGCGGTGCATGTGGGTGTGGGTACGGGTGTGGGTGCATGTGTGGAGGTAAGTGAGGGCGGCGTGGTGCGAAGACGGGAGAGACGAGGTCCATTAGTTCGGGCGAGGCACTGTGGATTGCGTCGAGGAGCAGGCTGGGACGGCGTTGTGTAAGTAGAAAGAAGGAAGAGCGAAATACAGGACAGGGAAAAAGACAAGAACATACTCGTTCTCAGCTTGGATTTTGTTCATTTTTTCACTGGCGATGTAGAGGTCGCGTTCAATTGTATCGCGTATCTGTCAGTGTCATTGTATCAAGTACGGTGGTATCATAAGGAACAAGGGGTACGTACAGCGAGAACGCGGTCGTATTTTTCCCTGAGCGCTTGAAACCTGGATTCACATTCCCATCAATTCCATCCTCAAAAGAAAGGTTGTTTACGCACTTTTCCTTATACCTCGTACTCCGATGCGCACTATTCTGCACGGCCAACATGAGCCAAGCACACGACCGAGCAAGCGAACGAACAAACGCACCTTGGATTTTGTCGACCCGCGCCCGCCCTCCCTCTCCCTGTGGTGTCGATGCGCGCGCGAATGGGAGTCGCGCCGTGGGCGCGTGGAGCGGCTTGTAGACGTGGACAGTTGGGCGTCGGTGAGAGGATGCATGGCCCATTTTTCGTCGATGTGGTCGACGTCCATGACGCGTGTTGGAGAGAAAGGACCGGAGCCACGTGGTGGATGTTGACATGATGCATGGAACCCCACGATCTTATCTGTGTCCGCTTTTGGCGCGTGTTCTGACATATTTAAAGGTGCGGTGATTTGAGCTCTTGAGATGGTGATTTGAAGGGACAAGAGCTGAGTTCGTGATCTTTGCTTCGATGGTTAGAGCGTGAGGTTTCTGTGGGTCTACGAGCCTTGCCTGTTTGAGGAGAGAACAAAAGGCATGGGCACATGGTGTAGTTGGTTATCACGCCCGCTTAGCATTGTTCGCTTTCCAGCTTTCAATGAATGCGGGCGGTGCCCGGTTCAATTCCGGGTGTGTCCACATGTTTATTTTCTTGTTTTTGATCTAATATCAGACAAAAATGTGGACCGAAATAGAAATAAGAAATCAAGCTTAGGAATAAGAGATCAAGCTTCGATCAGATACGGCCAACGTGGCGATCGAACGCAAGACCTTCGCGTTATTAGCCACAACGCTCTAAACAAACTGACGATTTTATTCCTAAATACCGCGATAACAGGACTGGCAGTAGGCACTCAGATTGACAAAAAGGAAAACTTCGATTGCACATACCTTCAACAATCATCATTCTTCTTCGGACTCAGCTGCCGCCTGTGAATGGAGACGCCAAATTCGCGATTCTTTGTCGCGAACTAGTGTATTTCCACTCAAAAAAAAGATCTCGCGAAGCTCCGGAGAACTTTTGGTCCACAAATCCGCCAGCTGAAGCTCGCTTTCCAGACTGACATAGCGACTTGCCAACAGTTTTCCTTCCAGAAGGCAAAATGTGAGAACGGTGAGTCTGGGCAGTAGTGATAAAGCCGTATAGAGTACTGTAGGAGGCTAAGAAGATCCTGAGTTGCAACACTTTGTGGAGGATACATTCTCAATGTACCTGGTATGATTCTGCTTTCTCGACTTCAAGCTGAAGGTGTTTTATAGCAGGGAACGATTCGTTCAGAGATTTGATGTTGTCAATCAATGTTTGCTCTGTAATGGAGTTTACCACCAGCACCACATTAGAGAGTTGGTCGGGTACAAAGTCATCATGATCTTTAAGCGAAGGTGCGATGTTATTCAAAGATTCCCGGATCGGTTGAGCACTCCAATAATGGTTGAGCACTGGAAACGCTATGATGTATAGAGAGGATAGACGCGGGATCAATGCCCAAACAATGAGCCTATACGATGACTGCGCCGTCCAATCTTGATAGACGGAGATCATATCATGTGCAATGTACCATCTATAATCCTGATCGAAACGAACTTCTTGGAGGTTGTCATGGAACCGAGCCCATTTGACCAGGATCTAATTCGTCACGAACAACAATTGTTTTAAGCGAAAAAGTGCAGCGCCTGCTACATTGTTAAACAAGGTCTTTGTTGTCAAACCAAGATAGACGTACTGCAGAGCAGAAAGTAAGGCAATGCCATTTACCCATTCATCCGGGTCATACTCGAATTGTAATTTCAACACTTCGAGTTGAGTGGCAGCCAACAAAACAGTATCGATCAGACCAAACATAGGATCGCAGTCGTAAAACTGAGTCCGGTCTTCAAACTCCAGCTGGAGCTCTCGTATGTGGCAAGCTTTGTCTGGATGTGCTGCAAGTGATTCCACGCAATTCTCTGTACGTCTTCCCACAAGCTCCGAGGCTTTGAATTTACTATCCAAGTCGCCATCAGGGTCAAAGAATCCTTTATTGCTGAACGAGATGGTCCTATAAATGAGGGATTCAGCTTGAGATTGACAATCCCTGCTTGTAAGCGCAATTTCAAGAAGAGTGTTGATATCGCAATATTGAATTATCTCGTAAATGATATCGATCGGAAACCAAGAAGACTGTACGGAGGTACGTGTATTGATTTAAATCATCATTAGCTTGAGGGGAACGGCATGCGCACCTCCATCTACCAAGATGAATAATGGTAATATTCCTGAAGTTGAGTCGTTGAATCGAGAACGGTTGCTTGTAATATAAATGAATACTTACGGGAGGAACCAGTGATGTTATCTGTAAGAGTTGAGAGATTATCGGATGAGCCATCATAATAATACCTGCAAGGGGTTGGGAGATTGTCGGATATGAGCCTACTGACAGTGATGTGTATTCCAATGAGACGCGCGACACGATTCTCATTTGATATCATCAACGTTTGTTCTCAGAGACTATTGTCGTAGCGTTGATGATTTGTATGGACACCATATCGGGTATGTCTAGTTAATGAAGCATGAGCTGTTGAAATGGTTGGAATAGCGGGCTGCCGCATTCTTGGATTGAAAATGACAAAATGGTCACTATTACAGGACAGTTTGTGTACTGCGCCGTGTACCAATACATGATACATGACCCGAGTCTGGTATGTCACAATCTACTGCCAATCGGCACATACGTTTCAACAAGATGATATTTTGACTAAGTCAGCGACCCACGCCCTCCCTTCCTCTCCCGATCGCAGTGTTGTCAGCAGGCGTGCAGATGGGAGTTGCACCCTGGGTGGCCAAGCAGCTTGCGGACGCCGGTAGACAGCTGTCGGAGAGAAAGTGCAGGATATTTTTCGTCGGGTGAGAGGAGACTCAAGCCACGTGCCGCTTTAGGGCGCATCGTGTCACCCGTGCGCATGAACCTGAAACGTATGTGTGTTCAATTTCAAAATTTGTCGTTTACTTAGCTTTTGGAAAATAGTAAACCAACCAGCAGACCTATATTATTGATCCCTTTCTTCAATCGTTTACGCCTGTACATCATTTTGTGCAAAATGTAAGTACTTCTGATGGTTTGTTTGGATACTTGTCACCCATCGAAATAGTCCTCATGCCAGCTTACGACCACTACTTCCACAGCAGACCAGTAGCCCTCTGTGGCACTATCCATTTTCCTCGGAGTAGACTCCTTGATAGCCCAGAATATCATCCAAAATTACTACGAAGCAAGAATGTTGGATTACAGGATTGGCAATAGTGCGATAGTGACAACACCACTAATATCGACGAAGAAATCAATAGCAACGAAGACAGAAATACTTATGATCCTATTCCCATTGAATGTCTACAGTATAGGATAGACATCAGGAGGGCAACAACACGTTCATACTCTAAGGGAACAGGCATTGGTTATTCTAAAGAAGTGGAGATTGAGATGGAATAAGGCAGGAGGATTAGATGAAGAAGGCATATTCAGTAGTCTTTCTCCAATGGTTGGTATGACTGCTGTGTTTGACTCATCAGGGTTTCTCTTTACCTAATATTGGTTAGATTATAAAGGAATCAACAAAGTGTTACCTCCTTGCCATCTACAAACAGGACTGCTGATGAGCCAATACCACTCTTGAATCCTGAGCCCTTGCAATAGATTACCATTGTTACTCTGCTGTGCATCCACATTATTTCCTTGAGGGCAAGTTCCTTGGTTTCAGGTATGTGTGTTGTGACTACATAAGCCACAACACCCATGACTTTGGAAGCCACTTGAGAATTGCAAATAACGTCGAATTTGCTCCAGTGCTCAAATACAGGGGCGGAGTCTTCTCCAACGCCCTTGATACCACCTGTTTAGTGAAAACATCAGCAGGCATCAATCCTGGTGCCTGACTGGCATAGATGCACTTCATAATGTTTGGAATGAAGCCACGATACAAAGAGCCTTCTGGCAGTCTGAAGCATGCACTGGTCTTGATAGTGAGCAGATCTATATCTGTGAAGTGGAAAAGATGGTGAAGTGGCAATTTGTATCTGTGCACAAAGTTTTTGGCTGCTCTCCCAGTCCATGAAGGGAGTGAGTTAGGGGGAGAAATGAGAAGTGGATGGCAGTCCTGGTCAGTACTTGGCAGAAGGAAATGTCAATGGGAAAGAGGTTGGCATGGACTTCTATGACATCTCTAGCCATGATGCTCAGGGCTCCAGTCAAGCATTTCATGGCTTGCTGCTAGGCCAAGTTTAGGTGCTTGGAGACTGCCACTGATCCAGTATGCCTGTATCCTGGGATGTTGTCACTCACACCTGTGTACCAAACATCAGTGCCATATATGAGTGCTGGGACCACTGCTGTGTTGTACAGCTGCCACATGCACTGGGAGGGCATACCCCCAGAAACTTTGGAGAGCTGGAAGACTTGGAAATGTCCACCAAGTTGCACAGGCAATGACTTCCTGGGTATGGGCTGCCCATTGTAGCTTGGAGTCAAAAGCAACTTCAAGGCACTTGCATGTTGGGATGGTTTTTACAATCTGCACTGCGATTGAGCCTGTCACAACCCACTCCCAGACCTCCAACCCTCTTCTCCAAGCCACCCTGCTTCCTTGGAATTCTCCACAGACTTACCCAGACCATCATTCACCTATGGCCCCCACCACAGCTAACTCTGACACTTCCCCAGCAAACCCCAATGTGTCCCCTGCAGGCCCCATCATTCCCCCTTCTCCTCTCAAGCCCCTGGGCCTCTCTGACATCTCTCCTTACCCAGGCACACATCATCAACTTGTCCCATGACTCACACAACCACTCTGGAGCTCTCCAACAACTATGGGGCAGACCATGTTCCCATTAGTCCCATCAGAATATCAACATGGCCTGCCATCTGATCAGAGCCAACACCTGTCAGCCCTGCACAGCTCCAATGAGCCCTGCTATTGCACCCTTAGTCCCTGGAGAAGATCCAGTAGTTAGTATATAAGGCATATAGTAGCATCTGTTACTTTAGTCTTGATATTGCATTACTTTGGTTACTGTTTCTTGTTTTGTTCTGTGTTATGTCTCCCAGTCTTCTCTCTATTTCTATTTCTAGTCTCAAATTTATCTTCTTCTCATCAGTTCTGTCTCATCTCAACTATGTCTCATCTTGTCTGTCTCTGTTTCCCTTATCATTCCTAAGTTTCTTTCAACTCTGATGTCATTACAAACTCTGCACATATGCTATAACCCTTTGAACATACATACATTAACTATGAACCTCACCCTGTGCTCAGCCCCCAGAACCCATCACTCTTGATTGATCCCCCATCAAATTCCAGCTCTGCTCCCATCACTTGCAAAGCCTCCACTTGCCCCAGTCCATACATTTGTCTATAAACTTGTACCTGATGCCTGCCCAAGCCCAATGCTCAACATACTTGGTCTTAGACTTCCCCAGACCACCCCAGACTTGCTTGGACTGCTTACTCTAGCTTCTCCTTGCAAGTATCTGAAGTCTGACCCACTCCAGAGCACTAGGTTATAAGCACAGGACATTGTGTCTGCCTAGTAAGAACTTGCCCAGTTAAGCTGAGCCTCTGTGGTCAGTGGAACCTGACAGAGCCATCAGCATTGGGGCAGTGTAGAGTAA